GTGGCACAACGCAGACTTGAGAAAAACAAGATTTACTGTACGAGTCCAAGAACAATCAATGTGTCAGGATCAATTGACTGCATCTGTTTTGACAAAACTGGAACGCTGACTGAAGATGGTCTCGACATGTGGGGCGTAGTGAATACCATCGATAAGAAATTCCAGCCGCCTATTAAAGATATCACATCCTTGCCCCTAAACGATCTTCTCATCGGAATGGTGACTTGCCACGGAATTACTATAATAGAAAATCAACTTGTCGGAGATCCACTCGACCTAAAAATGTTTGAGTCTACGGGTTGGACCTTGGAAGAGCCCGACGTATCCGATACGTCAAAATTCTCGATGCTTTTCCCTACAATAGTGCGACCACCAAAAGGCTCCAATCTATTGAAGAAGCTACCCAACGAAATAAGAATCTCGATCAGCCGACAAAATTCTATGTCTTCTGACGTGATCGATAACATCTCTTTAAACAACCTTGATACCACGTTGACTGGTTCCACGACAGAATTGGGGGAGCAAGGTTTAGAAATTGGAATCGTTCGTCAATTTCCGTTCACGTCTAGTCTCCAAAGGATGAGCGTGATTACCAGGACGTTGGGAGCTAATCATTACGACCTCTATTGCAAAGGCAGCCCAGAAATGATTCTCAGCCTCTCCAGAGCAGAATCCAGTAAATATTGCAACATATCTTTTAAATTTTGTGTTTTAAACTCTCTTCAAGTTATGACTAATCGTATTGTTTTTATAGTCCCAGCAGATTTTGGCGCTGTGTTACAAGACTATACTTCGGAAGGCTACCGTGTGATCGGCCTCGCACACAAATCTTTGAATCGTCTTCCTTACGCCAAGGTCCAGCGATTGAGTCGCGAGTCTGCAGAGTCCGATCTGACGTTCATAGCATTCGTCATCATGGAAAATAGATTGAAACCAGAAACCACGCCTGTGATCAGTGCATTAAACACTGCCTGTATAAAGACTGTCATGGTGACTGGCGACAATATGCTGACTGCACTGTCCGTTGCCAGAGACTGTGACATCGTGAAGCCAGGTACAGCCGTCATTGCAGTCTCTGCCACTCAGCAGAACCAGATGAAACCACAAATCTATTTCACGAAGAGCAGCAGTCAGCCATCTATGGGACACGGAGATCTCAGCGAAATGACTGATTTGAATAGTGTAGCTAGCTTGGAAACAGTGGAGAGTGGCTCCTTTGGGAACAATCAGTTCGATAACGATGTCAATTATTTAGCCGACGAGTAAGTTCATTCAGCTATACATCATTATCACATTTACTACTACAGTAAATTAGTGCGAAACTTACACATTTGTTTATTTATAGTTTAGGATTAAATTTAGATTAATCCGATAGCGAACGTGTTAACATCTAATTTCTCACTTTTGTTTGTCATTGTTTCAGCTTACACCATTCAAAAAACAAATACGTGTTTTCACTCACGGGTAAAACGTGGGCCCTAGTCAAACAATATTACCCAGAACTGATTCCCAAACTTGTCACTCGTGGAGCAATCTTTGCGAGGATGTCGCCAGACCAGAAGCAACAACTCGTTCAGGAATTGCAATCTTTGGGATACTATGTTGGTACGTAACTGAATTCTTCTTCAAACAATTTATATTATCTGATTGAAATGTTAATTTTAAATATTATTTTCAGCTATGGTAGGTGATGGGGCAAACGATTGTGGAGCTTTGAAAGCTGCCCACACCGGAATTTCTCTCTCTGACACTGAATCTTCAGTAGCATCGCCGTTTACCAGCCGCGAGACTAACATTTCTTGCGTATTGACCGTGATTCGAGAAGGTCGCGCAGCTTTGGTCACTTCCTTCGGAATTTTCAAGTATATGGCGAGTTATTCGCTCACTCAATTCATCTCAGTGATGCTGCTGTACAGTTTCGAGTCGAATTTGACAGACATCGAGTTCCTCTACATAGATCTCTTTATCATCTCGATCTTCGCTTTCTTCTTTGGTCGTACCGAGGCTTACGATGGTCCATTAGTCAAGACAGCTCCTCTGAACAGTCTCATTAGCATCACTCCCATTCTTAGCTTAGTGACACAAATTTTGATTGTGGCTCTATTTCAGTCCGTTAGTCTATGGCATCTTCAACAAATGGATTGGTTCAAACCGTTCAATGCCACGGAGAAAGCTGCTGAGAACAAGGACGATGTGAGCTGTACCGAAAATTACACAGTTTTCATAATCAGTTCCATGCAGTATATCATTCTGGCTGTGACGTTCTCTAAGGGTCATCCATATAGAAAGTCTCTGTTCACGAATTACGGTCTGCTCACCTCGTTCATTTGTCTCAGCCTCTTCTCCGTTTACCTCGCGACCTTTCCCTTTGAGTGGCTGAGTGACTGGTTCGAGCTGATTCTTCCAGAGAACGTTGGCTTCCGCTTCATCTTGGTCGGCTACGGTATCGTCAACTTCGTGATCTCGTTGCTAATGGAGTACTTCTTTGTTGACTACCTCGTTTTTAGAAAATTACGCTATCGTTGGCATAACATAGACAAATCTAGACGAAAGTTCCTCGCGATTGACCGTGACATGGCACGCGATTTAAAATGGCCACCGATCTCCCAAGAACCGTTACCAGAAGCTGCTCCCGATATTCTGATTCGTCAAAACGTCACCGAGATCAAGATCGAGAAACGCGTTCCCGAGTCCTGTCATCCTGTGGACACGAGCTTCATGAACAGTCCGATCTGTGAGAACTTCAAGCACTTTGGCTCTGCCAGAGAAGTCACTCTAAATCCCAAGTCCTTGTTCAACGATCGCAGAAACACCGTATCCATGCAAACGGTTCCTTGCTTCGAGGACAGAGATTCCGTGCTGAAACAGCCGAACATAGAGCTGACAGCGAAGAGAAGATACAATTCGGAATCGGAGAAAGGGATCAATCGGTACGAAAAAGCCAGTTTTAAGAGCCACAGCACAAATCCAATCGCAACCCTGCCTAGGAACACCGCTATGGCTCTTCAACCGCAGAAATTGAGGGATTTGAAGAGCGCCTTGATGCACAAAAGCGAATATGGCTTGTCTCCCAGTACACAAAGTGTCCTTGAACTCGATATTCTACCGTCGTAGAAGAGAGCGATTTATCCTCGTGGGATTTGAATTGGTAGTGATCAAAGAACGGTACTTCGAACAACGAACGGTAATCGTTTCAAGTTTGAAGAACGATCTATTGTTTGCTATTCGACGCACCTGCTCGATTTCATAGACCGGATTATCTCAAAGTATCTCCACTTTATCTGCCAGTGCATTTGTTGTCCCATGACAATTGCAATACAAGACTGTTTTCAGCTGCTATACGGAATCACTCAGGAACGTTTAATTCAGAGACGATCAGGAAAGTTTCGAATCACCAGCATTCAACTGGAAGAAATGATATGGCAAATTTCCGACACGATCTCTAATCTAAATATCGTTCACAAGAGTGCATTTAGAATGCCGCGGCATTCACGACAGCTTGGTAACCAACGATGCATCCCACGAGCATCGTACGGTAGATCAACTGAAGGGGTCCCTTTTGACCTGATCTTTCTTCGTCCTCCTCCTCTACTAGTATTCGAGCATACCAGACTCGAAAGAGAAAGTATTATCATTAGTTTATTTAACTTAGATGATGAATTTTAACTTACTCTGCCGTCAGGGAGTAATGGTCCCGTCGAAGAGCGCTCACCTTGGCGCAGGTCGAACGAAATAGATAGTTAGATACGTTCTTTTCTTTTTTTTTTTTTTTTTTTTTTTTTGGG